GAACATGAATTTTTAGAGTCGTTTTGTATAATAAAGTTAAAGCTAAAATAGGTAATATATAAAATAAAATTAAAAAAAAATTGTAAAGTAAGGAATAGTAATTTTCTAACAAAATTTAAAAATGTGTTGCACATCATTTTGTTAAGGGGGTAAAACGCAACTTCCCCCTATTTTGCACACCCCCCATTAAATTTACAGGCTCCGTTGCAACTGCTCAATATAGCAAATAGATATAAAATAATAATATACCTAGATGAGGTTAATGAGAAGAAGCCGTGCTAATAAGAAAATTAATCTCATAATTTGGCAAATTTTAAGGTGTTAAAGTTGAACGACGAAAGCTCTTATATTCATCAATAAAATATCTTGTTGGTCATGGGAGATATTAATTTTATAATTAAAACATATCTATAGTCTGAATAAAAGAGGAGTGCAGTAAAAGTGGGGATATAACGTCACATGCTCTAGGCGTACTTTGCAAAATAAGTTTCTATAATATAAGGTTACGGCACATACAATGGTATATACTTATGCCCTTCGTAGATTAAATGTTGATTTAAAAAGTTATATTATTTACAAAATTTACAAAATAAAAATAAACCTTATGCTTCTGAAAAAATTATTGCACATTGACCGAATTAAATTTAACCAATAAATAAGAAGAAGGATTATATATTGTTAATGGGTTTAACTTTTCAGTACTTATCTAAAATCAAGTGGGAATATAACGTCACATTCCATAGGCGTACTTTGCAAAATAAATTACTATGATATAAATAGGGTCACGGCATATAAAATGGTATATACGCACTTCGTAGATTAAATTTTGAATAAAAAAAGTTACGAAACAAAAAATAAACCTTTTACTTCTGACAAAATTGTTGAACGAAATAAATTTAACTAATAAATAACAAGGAAGATTATATGTAGTTAATGGACTATTTTTAATCTCTTGGCATTAAAAGTAACACTTCAGTACCTAAAATCAAAGATTAAAAAAAATAAACAGTTCAAGAACTATCTTTAAAAGTCACTGTCTTCACTATAACCACTGGTATCATTATCATTGTCTTTTCTGAGATTTATTATTATAGAGTCTATTAAGTTTTCCATTGCTATATCTACTTTCCAAAATGAATTTTCCAACATTTTAACATGATCAATGCATTTTCTCCAATGTTCTCAATTTATCTGAAACTGCCTTCAAAAATAAATTTCGCACATCAAGTAATTTAAAAATTATATTGTTTCGAAAAACATAACCTTTTAATTGAGACCAGATCAGTTCAATGAGATTTAACTTTGCGTGGTAATAAATCAATCTGAAAATTTCAATTCCATTTTTTCGGGTCATCTCGTCTATAATATATGTTTTGAATTTGTTTTTATGTTGCATTGTTATTACGAGTAAATCTGCCTTCAACGATTTAGGAGGACTAATAATATTTTTAGAAAGAAGCACTTTTAAAATATCTTCTTTTTTTCCACTTGTTGTAGGTTAGTGACTCCTTTAATTGACTGTGATAGGACGCATTATCCAAAACAATAACGGAGTTGACTGGATTTTTTTTTATAATGTTCTGAAACCAATTTTCAAACAGGGCCATCCACTTCTTCATGATAGTCTTTTGTTTTCTTTGACTCGAACATTAATACACCATTTGGCAAAAATCCATCGGTGCTTTCAATGTGGGTTATTATTAAAATACATACGATACGGCTATAAATAAATAAAGTCTGACTTATCTGTCAAAAGAAAAGGTTTAATACAGTAAAATTTAAATATATCTTTTATTAGGCCGATCAGATGTATTCAAATTTTCATTTTAACTACAAATAAACATTAAAGGATGAGGTATAAATAAAATGTATACCTCTTGAACCTGTACTACAAATTAAATTACTGCACTCGTTTCTTCTCTAGACTAAAACTGAATAGCGCTTTATTACTTTTTTATTTTAATGATTGCCACGTTTTGTAATTTAATTAGAAGAGATTCCAGTTACCTACCTCTGTACAATAATAATCTGTAGGTACATTATGCAAATACTCCATAGGTTTTCTGGCTTCATCATGTAGTAACGCTCCGTACATTGATACGCCTATTATTCTTACCACTAGAAATGAAAAAGAACCGACAAAGTACGTTGCTTCAACCAAACCTTTTCTTTGTCTAAAAAATAAAAATTTGTTGGTTAAATTATTAGACCAGAGCATACTGGCGCATTCGTTTGCAAAATTGTTTTAATTCATATTTTTTTTTTAAATGTCCGGAAGGCTTTCCTGATTATAAAAGCGTAAGATGACACTCGATATTTGTTGATGTTGATTAATTAAGCCAGAAAATATGCATTTTTTGCAGTGAATTAATTTTTTTATATTCTTTAGGATATTTCGAATAAAAAAAGTCCTTACGCCCATCATCGTATCTTCAACCCTTTAATTGTTATGAATTTTTTAAAATCCAAAATGGAGGAGGAGGGGGAGGAGAAAAAGAAAAAGAAAAAGAAAAAAGAAAAAGAAAAAGAAAAAGAAAAAGAAAAAGAAAAAGAAAAAGAAAAAGAAAAAGAAAAAGAAAAAGAAAAAGAAAAAGAAAAAGAAAAAGAAAAAGAAAAAGAAAAAGAAAAAGAAAAAGAAAAAGAAAAAGAAAAAGAAAAAGAAAAAGAAAAAGAAAAAGAAAAAGAAAAAGAAAAAGAAAAAGAAAAAGAAAAAGAAAAAGAAAAAGAAAAAGAAAAAGAAAAAGAAAAAGAAAAAGAAAAAGAAAAAGAAAAAGAAAAAGAAAAAGAAAAAGAAAAAGAAAAAGAAAAAGAAAAAGAAAAAGAAAAAGAAAAAGAAAAAGAAAAAGAAAAAGAAAAAGAAAAAGAAAAAGAAAAAGAAAAAGAAAAAGAAAAAGAAAAAGAAAAAGAAAAAGAAAAAGAAAAAGAAAAAGAAAAAGAAAAAGAAAAAGAAAAAGAAAAAGAAAAAGAAAAAGAAAAAGAAAAAGAAAAAGAAAAAGAAAAAGAAAAAGAAAAAGAAAAAGAAAAAGAAAAAGAAAAAGAAAAAGAAAAAGAAAAAGAAAAAGAAAAAGAAAAAGAAAAAGAAAAAGAAAAAGAAAAAGAAAAAGAAAAAGAAAAAGAAAAAGAAAAAGAAAAAGAAAAAGAAAAAGAAAAAGAAAAAGAAAAAGAAAAAGAAAAAGAAAAAGAAAAAGAAAAAGAAAAAGAAAAAGAAAAAGAAAAAGAAAAAGAAAAAGAAAAAGAAAAAGAAAAAGAAAAAGAAAAAGAAAAAGAAAAAGAAAAAGAAAAAGAAAAAGAAAAAGAAAAAGAAAAAGAAAAAGAAAAAGAAAAAGAAAAAGAAAAAGAAAAAGAAAAAGAAAAAGAAAAAGAAAAAGAAAAAGAAAAAGAAAAAGAAAAAGAAAAAGAAAAAGAAAAAGAAAAAGAAAAAGAAAAAGAAAAAGAAAAAGAGAAAGAAAAAGAAAAAGAAAAAGAAAAAGAAAAAGAAAAAGAAAAAGAAAAAGAAAAAGAAAAAGAAAAAGAAAAAGAAAAAGAAAAAGAAAAAGAAAAAGAAAAAGAAGAATTTATAACAATAAAAACTAAATATGATTTTTTTGCAAATATTTTTTTTAATATATATAGAAATCTGTTTGTGTGTATATTTATTATTAAATTTTAATGATATGTCCCAATTCTAACCTAATATACTATTTTTATAAAAATAAATGTGGATACTTGATATTAACATTGTAATTTTTTTATATTAAAGTAATTTCGTTTTCCCCGTCACTGAGGTATAGAATTATTGGTTAATCCCTTAGGGTTTGCTCACTCATTTACATTTTATGATGGATTGTATTCGAGATTTTTCTGGGTGGTCATACTAAAATCTAGAGAAAATTCAGATAAGAAGGTATCAATATTTACTTTTTTCTGCTTTGAACAATCCTGTATATAGACCTTTGCCATAAAAACTGTGCTATCATGCATTTTTAAATAAACTATAATGAACACTCAAAATTTGGGCTATTATTTAACTTGTAGTACTTTTTCAATAAGAAATACATGGAACTTATTTTTTTCTGTGGTGTATGATAAGATAAATAAGACAATTTTACCTCAAACTATTGTAGAGCTGGATACACAAGAAGAATATATTATGCATATATGACACCAATACTAGAAACGATAGGTGATTATCAATTTTTTTGCAGAGCAAATACAACCTTTGGTAGTCTTCCCTAATTTCTCTCCAGAATTTTTGCTGCATAACCTGCAAGTGTATTTAAGTGAGATAATAGGAACACTGCATAACAAGTTGGGTTTGCTTGGTAAAAAAATTTTCGTAATGGCATACGTTTTCAAGATACAGGGTATTGAAAAAAAAATGTATACACATTTTTTACGATTATGTCGAAACTGTAATTAACTTTTGTACGAATATGTTTTGGAAGCTGACATATCGCATCAATTTGTTTTTATATCCACTTATAGAGGACGTTGTTTACACGGTTCGTACCGTGTAAACATAACATAACTTTTTTGAGGTTACATTTTCTAGTCCAAATTTTATATGAACTCAAACATCATTTAATTTTACAATAAAACTCGATACTGTGTACCGTTTTCGGAATATTTTAATTTGAAAATGATGAAGTAGTAACTGATGCTGGTATAAAGTGAATATTTAAAAAATCAATTAGGGGCGTCCATTAATTAAGTGAGGTGTTTAAGGGGGGGAGGGGATCAAGCTAAATCTTTCGAAATCTCACTTGGGGGAGAGGGAGGGTCTTTGTAAATCTAACGTAATTTTTTTCTAGTAGAAAACGTTATAAAATTGCGTGAAAGTAAAATTAAATTAAAGTGAAGAATGTTTTTAGAAATTTTATATTACGGCAATATTTTCAAATACCTATAATAGTCTTAAATAAAAGTAATAGAATATTTATTTATTTATTTATTTATTTATTTATTTCACAACCCAAACAGGCTTTTAGCCTTATTACATGGATATTATTGCTAAAACTGTTACAATAATTAAATTAATATTATTACACGACAAGTAACTAAACTAAAATATAATATAATATGAACGGCGAAGTTGACAAATTCTATACCAAGTTCTGTGAAATAATGATCAACCCAATGTTGATTGTTAATAATTATGATAGTTTAAATCCCATAATTTTTAAAATAATTTAATACAACTTTCCAATACTGATTAAATGACATATTCCAATCTATAGTATGCATAACATTAACATTATTAGCTAAGGAGAGAATAGAGTAAAGTGGAGAGCAGCGCGTCAATATTTTTAAGTTAAACAAAAGAGTGGAGCGCGTGCGTTTTGGAGGAACATTGAAAGGTATAAATGCTAATAAATTATTTGATGTATTTTGATTATTCATCAAACCAAACAGAAACTTCATCATAGCTTGCTTACGTCTAACGACTAGAGACGTTATTTGGAATTCTGTTCTTAGCATTTGTGTTCTTACATGATTGTAATCGGGCCAACGGTGATGTTTTTTGTAGTATAGATACCGAAGAAACTTATTTTGAATTTTTTCCAGATTGTCAAGATATATTTGTGGTTCTTGTACCCAAATTATAGAAGCAAAATCTAATTTAGGTAAAACAAGAGTGTTGTAAAGAGTTTTGATTGAAGATAAGTTCGAGAATGAGGATGTTTGCCTAGTAATGAAACCAAGCATTTTATTTGCGCTTTTAATGATTTTTTCTATATGAGGACTAAAAGATAATTGATTATTATAGGTTACGCCAAGATCTTTTATTTCTGAGACTCTGTTTAATAGATCAGTGTCCATTGTGTAGTCAAAAATAATTGGCTCTTTCTTGCGAGAGATTGTCATGACAAAGCATTTATGTATGTTAAAATATAATTTATTATCAGTACTCCATAAATAAACATTATTGATATCTCTTTGAAGTGCTACACTGTCTCTGACTGTGTGTATTTTCTTAAATATTTTCAAGTCGTCAGCATAAAGTAGACACTCTGAATTGTTTAGACAAGAAGGAAGGTCGTTAATAAATATTAAAAAAAGTAATGGACCGAGGTTAGAGCCCTGTGGCACACCCGAATTTGAGTGATTTGATATATTGTGTTTTTGTTTTTTTTTTTAATAATACAACGCATTTACACACAAAACATAAATTTTGAAAAATCTCACGTGATATTAGGGGATGGAGTTGAGGAAAATCTTACAAAATCTCACCATGGGGGGAGAAAGGATCAAAAAATCCTCATAAATATCTCACGTAATTAATGGAAGCCCCTTTACCTATTTATTAGAAACCAAAAACAATAACATTATTCTAATGCTATTGATTAAACAAAGAATCACAAGAAGAAAATTAAAATAAATTTGACCTAAAACATGAAATATTCAGGGGGTCGGCAGCCTCTTTAGAACGTGGGCCAATTTGAAATAATATATCTTTAGGAGGGCCGCAAAGTAAAAAAAAAACAATATTTATTGGCATTTGTTAAAATTTTATAATTTTCTTCGATTGGGCATTGACTCAACTAAGGATCTGCACTTTTCAGAGAAAAATCCTTTCTAAATCTGCTGTGTTTTGGCTTTCAGTTCTGGTAATATCCATTCTGGCTTGTTATTTAATATCTGTTTCGTTTTATGCAATTATGACATTAAGGTCAGGAAAGACCAATAAAGAATAGTTACGTTAGGACCATCAAACCAGTTTAAGATACAGAGATCCTTAGAATGTTTTTTATAAATATTGTCACAGGTCAACCTCTTGTCTTGCATTTTCGATTGATAACATTCATTTTCTTTGTTATTGTAATTGTTGAGTGTGTAGTAAACTAATGCCATTAAGTTTTAATGCTGTATGCTGTGTTTTAATACTTTCCAAAAATAAAAAGGGCTCATCAAACTCACAAAAATACATAACAATCAAGACTACCCTTACTATAAACTACAGATATTATAAAAACTCTAACAGTAGAACATAGTTCAAAAATAAAAATATAAACACCACTAAATAACAAAAAAAAAAAATACATTTTTTAAAAACCAATGTACGACCTCAAGTAGAATATTTTTCTGTTAACTCACTTTTTCATTCCGTGACGTCACTGCGTGCCTAGCAACCGTGATGAGGCCACCTTTCAGTCTACAAACCGTGGGCATGAACCGAGGGTACGAACCGTGGGTACGAACCCTGGGTACGAACCGTGTAACTAGCGCCCTTTAGCAGCTTTCTTTTTGGCAAGAAGAATAGCACCGAACTTTTCAGGAGTTATAAGCTCAAATTTTATAAGCGTTCTTTTTATTTAGGGTTCCGGAACAGTTCGCTCTTCCTTTACTTGCCCTCTCTTGCACCAACCAAAACTTGGGTGTAACCCCTGGGAGTCGTGGGTGCAACAATCACTCGATAAGCTCTTTTAGGTTATGTTATGATGTATAGAGAAAGTAAAAGTTGGAAAGGCTTGTGGTAGATAGAGAGGGGGTAAACGTCAAACCACGTCGGACGGCTTCGAGAATTTCGCAGTAATGTTTACCTGCCAGTGTCGTTTCATAGAATAAGTAATTTTAAATTGTTATCGGCGGAACCGGACAATCGCATGTATTTATGGACTATAAATAATTATTAAACATGTATTATAATATTCAAATCATAATTTTACAAAATTTCAACAGCTATTCACAATTTATTAAACTATTTACTCGAAATTGTTATTAACATCTATAAAATAATTTTGTACGCCGATTTATTGCGTCCACTTCGGTGAGATCCGCTGCAAACTTGTCAATTTATGTGTATAAAGTGGGAGAACTGGCAAAAGCCTTTCTAACTTTTACTTCTGTTCTATGCAATTGTACCTAAATGCACGTGTTTTTAAAGTAAAAAAAAATGGATTTGGATTTAGAATTGAATGAATTTGAACAAAATCTGGTATACACGATTAAAGTTAGCAGGGAAGATCGCGATCGCGCATTAATTGGTTGGTACCATTTCTTTTTTATATTTTATTTATTTTATGGTACTTAAATATTCCAGATAATCAATTTGCAAACTCCTTATTATTTTATGTACTAGTCATGAACAGAATATCGGGAAGCAACGATAAAGATGAAGGTCCTAGTCAGACAGTATTAGATGAAGATGGTGGGAGTTCTAGTGCATCAAATTTTCCTGAGCGACTAGATGATGATTAGTCGCTTAACGAGATTGAGCTCCTTCGTGAAAACGTGTCACGTGAAAGCCTTCCATCCTGCTCGAATACAAAAGTAATGAACATTTGGTCCTACCAATGACTACCTATGACATTATATTATCCTGATTTTAATGATCCCAGGCAAAGGAAACACATTTTTGAGCACATCGCCAATGATTTAATTAGTTGCTGGTTTCGAGATCAAATGGTGATGAGAAAATGGAAAAGCTTGTTACGTTCCTATAATAAGGCTAAAGATAATAAAAACCGAACTGGTAGAGGTCCATCAAAGTTTTTATTTTATCAATCTATTGATGAAGCTGAAAAATAAATGTAATCACTCTCTAAATAGTTTAGATGTCACTGTGGTAAATGAAGTCAGTTCACGATCGGTACCAGAAGAAATAATTGATGTGAATGATAATGGATTGAAGAGGAAAATAACTGTCAGGTATTAAATGAAACCATAAATCAAAATAGAAAGAACAATGCTGTGTCACCAGAAAAAAAGAAAAGGCGCTTAAGTGACGAACAGATGGAAAAGAAATACGTGGAAATGAAAAGAAAAGAATACGAGAAACGTCAAAAAAGGCATGATGATAAAATGAAAGTTGAAAAAGAAAGAAATGAAATAGAAAGAAGCAAAGCTATATTATTAGAAAAAAAAAGTGGCAAAGAATAAAACAAGTATTGTTAAAAGTTGTTTTTTTTGTGTGCATTTTTAATAAATAAGTTAAAAAAAAACATTTTTATTTAAAATTTTTAGTAATATCAATAATAATAAATACAATAGAACGTCGATAATCCGGATTAATTGTGACCAAAAAAGATCGTTTGAGTTCATAACAAAAAGAAAATCTGCTAAATACGTTTCTCGTTAAATAATTTAGCAGATAAATAAAACCATTAACAAATATGAACTTATGAAGTATTTTAATGAAAGAATGTACATACATATTTTGTACAGTATGTATTAACAGAATACTGTAGTTTATACATTGTCAGAACTCTTAAAAAAATTGTTATTGATTTTTGAACAGACAATAAAATGTTAACTTTATGGAAATATACATACTAAAAGGATTCTCACTTTATCAGTCCTCTAGGCAAATATTTTATTAAATACTTGCAATTGTCTGGAATGATTGTCAACATTAATGTGAAACTGTCTTTGAAATAATTCAGCTATTGGCTGATTGTATGCCACTTCTTCTACGTCTTCTAAATAATTAGGCCTTTTAGCAAACCGTATTAATTTTCAACAATAACTCTTTTAGATGATAATCTTTTGTTAAATAGTAGTTATTGCTGTGATAAAAATCATGTATTTTTAAAGGAGTAACTATCCAAAGCAAATTAGGGTAAGCTGAGTCAGCCAGAAGAAAATTATCTCCGATAAATTCAGGGTTTTGTAAAATCTTTGCATATAATCTAGATTTTCTAAACAATCGGGCATCATGAAGTGAACCAGGTTCTTCACAAAACAATATATGAACCTCTTTTTACGGTCTACAACACCCTGCAATGAGTCCTGGTTTTCTCTTGGTTTTTGAATTTCAATATGACTTCCATCAATGGCACCTATTGCTCCAGGAATTCCATTATTTTGTTTGAATGCATTTGTACTGACCTGCTTTCTTTCTAAATTTTGCCATTTTATTATTTCTTTTTTTAATGAGCATATAAAATTTATGACACGTGCCAAACAATTATGAGCTGAGCTAACTGTTACTCCAAACCTATCAGCAACTTCTCTGAATGAATTTCTATTTGCCAAATACCAAACTCTTAGGAGAGATGATTTTTCAGATGATATATTTGGTCGACCCGATGGATATTTTTAACTGAAGTTAGATTCTTCAAAACGACCTTTAATAAAAATAATAAATGTAACCCTTATTTAATTAAATATCTAATTTATATCCATATCTATTAGTTCGTAAGCAGTTGTTTTGGACATCCGAAAATGCGATTTAAACTGTTTGCTATCATATGCAGGTACAATATTTTCAACGAAATGTTTCCAATAAAGGCTAAAACAATTTATAAAATGAGCATTACATATAGGTGAACAAAATGTCCTTTTTTATAAATTACCTTTATAATATACTCATATTCTAAATCAGCCATAATGAACTATTCATCATTTATCTATGCAATAACTAAAAAATGAAACAATACACCCATATATAAATAAAAAGACAACTAAAAGAAACATAATCTGCCTTAAACATTGACAGTTCAATATTTTTTATGTATCCTAAAAATGCGTTCTTTTTGGTGCTTCTCAAGAACACTTGACGCCAGTACAGATCAAGTCCTTGTGATATCAAAAAGAATATCCGTTTTTTTATGATAGAAATAAAAACAAATTTATGCGAGGTGTCAGCTTGCAAACATATTTGCGGATACCGTTATGAAAACTTTTTACTGAGCAAACCCTTATTTTGCAGTGTTCTACCTATCCTAGCAACGAGGTCACCTTTTTTTGAGACACCCTGTATGTATTTGTATTTAGACGTTACTCCTTCTTACCCTATTTGATCTTAATCGTGCAACAAGTTGTTTAAATTTTGCAGTCATTGCAAGACTGAGGAGGCTTATAAATAAATCCGTGTATATCCATGTAAAGGTTGCCAGAATATTGCTCATCTATAAAAACATAATAAAACATAAGTAGCTAGTAGGCATTTTATAATAGGCTTGTTTTGGTTCTTTCACGCTTAAGAGGTTCTTATAATCTCACGACGCCCATACGGGTATTTGAATTATCTTCGCGGCCAAAAGTCTATTTTACAAAATGCAAAATTTTTAAATAAAAACGACTACTTGGGATAGGGGACTAGTTAGAGTACATTATTCATCCCCTCCCGTTTTCCTTCAGTGCACTCCGCTTCTTCACTGGCAGTTTGAATTTGACTGTTTTAGTTAGAATATTATGTGTATGTGAAAGCGTTGGAATGGAAAGCTTAATTTAAACAGTGAATATTTATTATTTTACAGGCAATGACACACTATCTGTATTATTTTTTTTTATAATTTTGATCATTTTTAAGATTGTCTTAGTTTATTGAAAGTGACAATTAATATAGCATATTTTTGACCGATGACTTGAGTTAAATAAAGAATTAGTTATACGATAAAGGTATATTCTGTTATAATTCTTATTACATACGAAAGGTTAGAGCTTTGAGTAGTAAGTAATCAAAAAATTATTACTTATTACTAGGAGAAAAATCAAAATATGGTAGCTTTTTACAAAAAGAAGGTGAATTATGGACTTTTAATTGACTGTTATTTGGCAAATAAGCTGAATTTTTTAAAATTATGTATTTGAAGTTTTTACTTTAGTGTCCTTATTTTCTATATGTAAACTTTCAAAATTATCGCTAAAAGAGTGGTTTCAAGCCAAAATATGATTGGCAAGTGTAAAGTGTAAATAGTGTCTCTGAACCACTGAACACAGCCGTTGTTTTTGACCGTGACAATTATTGAATCAGCATATCTAGTATAATCTTAGAACATATATAGTAAAAATAATGGAATTTAGAAATGGAAGGAGACTGAGGTTTAACTTTAGCACTATATGTCAGGCCAATGTAAAGGACTGGTGTATTTTTTAATTACGACAAGCATTTGGTTTTACATGATAATATTAATAGGATATTTTGAAGATGCTCCAAAAAAATTACTATATTTTTATATCTCAATACATTTTTAAAAAGGAGTGAGTACCGGGCGTATTGATTATACGATGCTTTTTGGCATTACTATACCACGAAAATAATATTTAAAAATAACATGATCTGACTCTGTACGAAATATACAGTATTCCAATTATTCATTATCTTTCTCTACTTTGCTAAGATTAACCGGTATAGACGAGCTGGTTGCTTACAACATGTAGAAGCAGAAGAAATTAGGAAGAACCAGTGGCGTCGTGATGTGTGTTTATTATTTAAATATTGGTTAGTTTGTTTAAATTTTTTCTATTTATAGAATTGTTTGGAAAAAAATGACTAACCGATAATTTTTTGTACTTCCAATCAAAGATATTAGAAAATGAATATTTGGAAATAAATCACACCAATCTGATACTTTAAAAATATTTAAATATTTATCATCACAAACAGTTTTCGTTTTTCTTGTCAAGAAAATGGGTTAATTTGCATAGTACATAGGGAAATTTTAATATTTTTCTCGTGTATTGAGTAAAACAGTGTTTCGATTATTTTGTTCAGGTTTAGGATGACTTTTTAAAATAGCGAATGTACCAGAATTATTACTAATTGTACCTTAGCACATTGTCCAAATGTATTTTTATATAACCAATCTTCGTTCTTTCTATATATATTTTTAAAAGCAATAGAGGTACCTGTACATATATTAATTTAAATACCAAACATGTTTTTTTTTAAATTTATTTTCTTTTTCAATAATGAACATAATTATGACAACCAGTTTAATTTATATAACTAGTTACTTAAAGTAGGTATGAATTATTTGGACACTTTAGATTACAAAAAATGTTACTTTGTTAGACAAATTAGAAGAAAATTTTTATTAAATACTTACTAAGAATAAATGTCGGATAGGCTCATTGCAGAAAAACATATTCAACAAACATTTCAATTTCTAAGATTAATTATATTAATAAGTGAAATAAAAAATCATTATTCAATGCGGAAAAAAGAATTGAAATCAAGTATTTTTTGACTCAATGATGAATAATATACGAATAACATTTTAAGTAAAACAATATATCTCCGTCTATGGGCGGTAAATCAAAGAGGTCGATTTGTTGATGTTTTTAGCTAGTTGACTTCCCGCTAACAATTCATTTTGTACACCAATTTTTTTCGAGTACTTCAAGCAGTGGCCGACCTTTTTTGCTTTGCGGTATTCCTTTATATTTGACTTATTGTTTAATACAACTTATGTGCCTAGATCATTTTATCTATTTATCTCTTTTTAACAAAATTCTTATATGCCTAACTAAATTCGAGCCACACTTAGCGGCGATTGCGGGATAGTTCAAACCCATTTTGGCGGCCGCTTTAAATTATTTTTGTTGTCGGTGGTATACCTATATGGCGTTACCGCTTTGAAACCGAGGATACAATTTTCTTCAACAAAAAATGTTTTTTGTTTTCGGCATGTCATGAAACAAACCGCTAAAGGAACAAAACGAATCACACAGAATACTAAATTTAAACAATAGTATACTAAAATACCCTATGTTTCTGGATAACTGTTAAATGGGATATAAGTGTTTTACCAGATGAACCCAAATCAACTTCTTATAAAACTACCCACTAGAAACCACCATTATCATTTATGTTTCAAACCACGTCACCACACTTTTTTTTAATATTAAACATTTTTCGCTTCATGTCAACAATATTATACGATGTATTGGTCAAAATTGTAAATAACAGACTCATTTAACCTGTTTCTAATGGGTGCGTGGTTTGACAAGCGGTTGATTTAAACTACCGCCTACAAAAATAAGAAATTAAATTTGTATTACATAGTAAAATATTTCCATTATTAAGTCAGCCTTTTTTTACCATTTTGACCATATAAATACAGCCCAAAAAAAGCAATATAACATACGACTGAACGGAGGGTGATAAATTTGATCATATTAACAAAAAAACATGAGCTTGAAATTGAAAAATGAATGCTAGGAATGGTTTTATTTTATTTTACACCCATTGGATCCTCCGTAGTATTACCCTAATCCATTTGTAGCGTGGTGTCACTGCAGCTTGCAGTTTATTGTACCACCATTTGAACGTCCCACTACGTTCTCAATTACTTACTCATTTACCGTTAATAATTTCACATCGTCGATAATTAAACGCTTGTTGACTAAATCACATGTATTTACTTTTAAAAATTTGTGCTAGGTATCTGATTTGTATACGAAATTTTTGGCATGTAAACCAGACGGTTTCCTTCCAAAACAGGTAGTCGATCCAAAAAATCGACACTGATGAAAAAATCGTTGCTCTTAAAAACAGCCAATAAACAGAACAGGTCAATTTTGTTTTTCTAAAATGACAATATTTTAACATAATTATGTACCTCTTGCTTCAACCGCTTTGAAGTGACAGCAACCAATTAAAATTTTTAAATAAAATGAGGGAAATTTTAAAAAGTTTTTAATTCTTTATTCAGTCACATAAGGATTTTTGTTTGTATTTTTCTAATTTTTTAAAAAACTTCTGTTACTGGAACGAGTAATAACCCCTTTAAAATGAGGTATGACATGATCACTCATTTCAAGGCGGTAGTTGTCAGTTCAAGGGGTTTGAAGAAATAGGTACTTATACAATTAATTGAAATACTGTCGCATTCAAAAATAAAAATTTACGTTAGAGGATTTTCTTTAAAAATTAATTATTAATGAGACAGAAAATTAATGTATCCCTTTGTCCTCACTTTATATGGGTAGGCAACAGAAATAAGTACATTCATTTTAACCGTCCAAAATAGTTCTTTGTGTAGTAAGGCCGTAAAGTTGATCATTTTTGGCCGAATTATAAATTTGCAACTTCTGGTTAGGATAAACATTATCATACGGCCAAGGTGCACACATTTTTTAAGCGACTCTCACATCAAGTAGAGCCAATATTTTTTTACATTCTTGTTTTTAATAAGAGGCTTAAATGCAAGAATTGTTTTAAGTTTTTATTGATCGAATAAAAATCCATCGTTAATTAATAAAATTTGCACAGAAGAATTACTAACGATAAGTAGGTATAAGTATTTTTCGGATTTCTATTTGCGATTCCTCGATAATAAATTCACAATTTTTAAAAAGTTAGTTAATTTAAATAAAAATCCAGTACCTAATTAATAATACCTAATTCTAATTTTTCTCGAACTGTTTTTAAGAAATTTAAACAAAATCATATCACAGCTCCGTGAAATAAAACGAGAAAATCTAAAAAGAAATCATTTCAAAACACTTACTTACCTACCTTTATGCCGAATTTTAATTATAGAAGGTGCTATGATTTTTGTGTTTCTTTTGAGACATCCAGTATGTTTTTACTCTTTTATAAAACGTTCATAACTGATCTGAAAAATACTTAATACGTAAGCCGTTTTAGCTATCTATATTACCTAAATAATGAAAAAAATAAATAAACAGAGTCAACCGCCCATCCATCAGACAAATCATTTTCTAACGATTTCGTATAAAAGATAATTACCTATGTGGATGTGAATTTACAAATACAGCGTGCAAAGAACGAATTGTCAGTGTTGCCAAAATTAAATTCCCTGTGTATTTGAAACCCACGTTATTTCGTCTTCTGTTTGCAGTTTACACATATCAAAACTTTACTCCGAATGGTGCACGTGTTGAATGATCGAAAATGGTTGGTCACGATTCGACTTGCTTGTTTTTAGATCTATCGACGAGTGCCTGAACTAAAATGTAGGTAAAACAGGGTTTGGCGCGGATAATATTTGAAATTTCAGCTTGTATTTAATTTCTCAATTTTCTCCGTTATTACATTGATTTGAGAATTGGTTTCAAGGCAATTGTATTTGATTATTAATAAAGTATATGAAAAAATCATATTACATTTTTTTATAATTGTTTAAACTTTTATTTTAATTATTATCAAAGTTACATTATATTAGCGTATATTGGCGTCCGCAACTGCTCTGATTTATTTCAAAAACGTCTACAAAATCTTAGCTCTCTAATTTGTATAGTTTTCAAATTTATTAGAAAATAAAATTAAATGCAATTAAACTCTCAACATCGTTTAGACCAAAAAATAATTTTGGCCGTGTAAATCGTTCAAATACCCCTATGTGCGACGTGTTTTTAAAAAATTAATTCGTTCACTGCATTTGAGAATTTGGAAAGTTTGAACCAAAACAAACCCAATGGGCCCGTTCACTTTCATTTTTGAATGTGAATTAATTATATATTTATAAAAATATTAAACTCTTTTGTCTGGTGGTACTTTTCCCGTTAAGATATTTTTGCTAGAAGTAAGGGAATTCCCATAAAATTCTTTCAGTGACTCATTGCGTCAGAAGATCCCTAATTCCGTTCACGTCTCGTATCGGTATGCTTAAAGACGGCGGGGTTGTCGGAAGTATCCCTAATATAGCATTTCTGCATTTATATATGTAATTTAAATAGTAAAATTCCATTATTTTTCTAAACATCATGAACTTATATTTTCAGATTTAAAGCTGGAGCTTATTTTTTACTTTTTAATTAAAACAATTATTATTACTCAGGCTGAAAATTAACCAGACCATAATCAAAAAGTAGAAATTTGATTTGCAATATTTATCTGGTAAACGTGGCAACGTTGCATTTATTTCTAGAAGTGTGTGTAGACAACACTATTTAGAAGTACTTACAACGTTGTCACGTTTACCAGATACATTTTCACAAATAAAATTTCGATCTGGTAATATTCAGCTTGAGTAATACTAATTGTTTTTATTAAAACTTAAAAAAGGTAGGGCTTCCAGCTTTATCTGAAAATATAAACACATTATTTTTAAAAAATAAACACATTATTTTTAAAAAATAATATATTTTTATCATGTAAATTTCTTTAATAAATGCAGAAGAGGAATGGTGGTGCAATGATACATCCGACAACCGCGCCCTTTTAACTATTAACCGATACGAGACCTGAAGGGAATTAGGGGTTTTCTGACGCAATGAGTCACTGAAAGAATTTTATGGGAATTCCCTTACTTCTAGCAAAAATATCTTAACGGGAAAAGTACCACCAGACAAAAGAGTTTAATATCTTTATAAATATATAAATAATTCACATTCAAAAATAAAAGTGAACGGGCCCATTAGAACTCTCAACGATTTCATTGATTGAAATTATTAGCAGTAAGAAGTTATAAATAAGTTGAATGCATATTAATCATTATACTGCCGTGTTAATTCAAATGGTCGTAGCTGCAAATTTGCTTGATATAAAGATATGACCACTACGCCTGACAACAATGAATTTTTTGTTCATCTCTATTATTTTCATGGATATATATTCTATAAAATCCGAGATTTAACGCTTAGAAATTTGGGCGTAAGTTATTTTTCTTGAAAAATCGATTTTTCTCACGTTCATGTATTAAACAGATACGTCCTTTTGAATTAACACGGCAGTATAAATGGTATAGAAACATCATCTCTTTTTAAAAAATCCATTTGTTTGCAATGCAATCTTAATTACTATTTCTCTGAAATTTCTATCTAATCTTGTTATCTCTATTCATGTACATATATTATTGGTTGCCTATGTCTTTACAAACAATTCTAATCCTTAGACTAAATGTCCTTACCTTAATTGCAATTCCTGTCCAAGCATTGAATGTGATGAAGGTGTAATAATTGCTAAACATAACCTCCATTGCGGCTCTAATACGACTTATATTATAACTGTTACACACTTCAGATTGATAAATTCCGTTGGCGATAAACAAAATATGCTCGGCTGAAAAATATACAGGAATGTTCATAAATCCTTTTTAAACAATTGTTCTTATATAAATTAATAGATCAACAATGTCAATACATAAATATGTTAACAAAATACCTGTTCCGAATATGACAGAGATAGAGGAAATCCATAAAAATTTTCTCTTTAAATTTACTTCATTTCCATATCCTTTCATAGCAATTTCTACATACGACCAATCTTTTAATATGTCTGGCCAATATCGAGCCAAATTTATAAAGTGTAGTGTAGATAAACACGTACATATGTAAAAAACCATATGAGCTAAACAAATAAAACAACAAAAATATTAACTTTAAAGTTCAAACATATACCTAGCTTTTATATATTTTCGGTTGGCTTATGAAGATGTTGGTAACTTCTAAACCAGTCTGTGACCTCTAAAATTTTCCTGTAACACTGAGGAGGGGGCGGCAGAATAGTTCCATACGGACATTTAACATCGGGGTGCTAGAATCATATCAAATGGCCACCTCCAAAAATGGAGTATCTCAAACACCTTATTAGCAAGCAGGACTTTGATGAGCTGAGAGGATGGCTATTCCTAGACAGCTCTTGGTGACTTGTTAACCAGTAGGTCTTTGACGAGCTGAAAAGTAGGTCTTTATGCTCCTGGAACATCACCAGGTGGTGCTGGAAGAGCGAATAACATTTAATATTAAAGCCCACTTCCAAAAATGCGACATCTAATGGCGCTTCGGCGACGTTCTTAGCCTGCAGGATTCTAGCGAGTTGAGATGCTGGCTATCCTTAGACACCTAGACAGACTTTTGGTGAGATAATAGTTTCAGGTCCTATTTGTCTCGGGAGAATATACAATGGGCCTACTGAGGTCTTAGTACTATGGGACAATCCACCCTTGCTTTAATTACAAATACAGAGAAATGGGGTGGGGGGCTCAGTGGTAGAGTCTCTGCCTGCGGATCCAAGGGTCTCAGGTTCGAATCCCACCGTTGGCCGGGATTTTTTTCATTTAATTTAATTATTTAAAATTAATTCTGATGTCTTGGTAGGATTCCCCACTCGACCATTCACTGTTGGGTACTAATTAACAGTGCTGTTCCTAAAGTGACGCTGGGAAACAGGTAACAAAGCCTACACAGAACACAAGGCTAATAACCGTAGCAGTTTATGCCGATGACACAAAAAAAATACAGAGATATATTATGATAGTCCTGAAATTTTATCGAACATTTTTGTTTTTATTCCTTTTCGTAATACCAAGTATTACAAATATTTCATATCCGTTTTTATAAACTTAATAATACTTTTAATAGTTGTATTCCACGAATACTTAGATCGGCAAACTTTCTGGATAATCTCATAATATTTGATGTACCTGTAACTAGATTTAGACCCGAGAATACTTGATCGGTATTCTCGGTTTAGACAACATAATATTCATTATAACAATTTTAAAATTATTTTGTATCCTAAATGGACTTGTCCGTAAATATACGAATGAATAAATAAATTTTGTGTTTTAAAAGTTTGGCGTCTTTTAAAACCAGTTTGGTGACTTTTAAAACCAGTTTGGTGAACGTTTACCATTTTAATTAGGTTTAAAACAGTTTGGTGATCACTTAACCTCCACTTAAATCTATTTGGTAAGCTATAAAACATTTATGTAGGATCTAAAAGAGTTTAGTGACCTTCAAAACCGGTTTTCTTACATCAAAAACTATTTTTGTGAGCTTTAAAATAGTTTGATAGCTTCTAAATCCAATTTGTAGAAACTTAAAATCGTTTTTCTAAGCCATGTAATAGTTTGGTGTTCGTGTTTTGATGTAGTTTTCGATTTTAAACGAAGCTATGAAAGAAGAAAAAAGAAGGATGCTTAAAAAGTTAAAAAGGCTTACCTGTTTTGTCTACAATAACTCCGTCTACACAAAATTTAATCAACCAGAATATCGTGCTAATAAAGGCACCGAAAGCGTTCAACATAGAAACCACCACACCGATACTAGTCCATTTAAAATAAACCTCATCCCAGTTTTTACGTAGATTATGCAACGGCATCACCCCAAAGATTTGGGCCATTCGTATTACAAATTTCATGTTATCGTGAAGATTATTTTTATTCGAAACTATTACATTTTCATTGTCGTTTCCTTGAGTCCTCATTTCGATCGTCATTATGGAAAATTCTTTGCGTTTTCTTTTCAAAAGTTTCATTGTTTCACATCGTTATACGTTGTCGCTTAGAAAACTAGTAGGAGAAATTTAATAATAATGTTGGAAATGTTTTCAGAGTTTTATCTGATTATCTATTGGGATATTGAGCGGCAAACCTTTTCACAAATTGAATGTTTATTTACGATGTGTTGTTTTTACTCCTAGAAGCATTGGAGGGATTGATTGAGGAGACAGGGGCGGACAGTAAGGCATTGCGTTTATACCACGCATTTTTGCAGTTAGTCCTTTAATAGAAATTATTAGTGCCTTAATAATAATATATACCTACATAAAATAATACATACCAATTTTTTTATAAATATCTCCTAATGTTTGGTACATATCATAACTAGGATAAAATAGTGTAACGTTTGTTTATTTTAAACAACATTTTATTTGTTAATAATTTATTTAAACACCTATTTATTTTAAAACAATACTATTCTAATTTATATATTTCGAAAGTCTTTAAACTGTTCACTATTTATCTTCACAACTGTTTTTATATGACTGACTGCTCCGTTGTTCCTCCACAAAAAATGATTTTGGACATGAAAAATAAAAAATTAATCAATTTTTATAATTTTTGGTATGACACGTTCTGATGGTTTTGGTCTTCATCAGTACCTAAGTTGTAAGTGTATTAAGGCGGCGTTAGCAAATGTATTAGCATAGGAGACATTTTCTAGATGCAAGACGGACTTAATAAGCAAAACGAATTTGCTTTTATAATATTCTTATGGTAATAAACTATTTCCTGAATATATATAAAAGTGAAAAAAATTGAGAAAATGGAAAAAAGAACGAAATTGTGAAAATTTGAAAAATATTAAATTTTTTCTTTCATTAACAAGTTCTTTACAGCAGATTTTTTTTTTAATTTTAACGTCACTTTAACCATATTACCACAACCATCATTACACAAAACAGTTCACGTACTTTTAAAAAGATGGTGCGACCTGAAAATTTCAAATTTATGTCGAACAACTAACGAGTCAAAATGAGCAACGTTGTCATATTTTTATGAAGGAGCGGAAGAAAGGAAATTCGTTATTTTATTACAAACATTATGTGTACATATATTTTGTAAGTATACAATGTGGTTGTGTAGAAACGTCTAAAAAGTATAGAAAGCTTTTTTAAAATATTTTATTTTTGTATCACAAAATATAAAAACATTAACAAGAGTGGATGTGGACAATCCACTCGAGTTTACAGTATATTTTTTCTACGACCCACTAACGAAAATCTACACATTTAAAAAATTATTTTAGGTTATTAAGACAAAATAACTAATTTTTAAAATAAATTTATGAATTTTACTAAATTATAAAATAAAACAAACATGAAAAAATAATGTTTAAGGAAAAGTGGGGGAATTGTGCGCAGCGGGCAATTGTGCGCATTGCAATCCTCGCTTAAATATTAAGAGCAAACCGGACACCTCGTAAATTTATAATTCATTTTGAGCCTTTATTTTTAGTCCGATTTTTGTGAAATTTTCAGGAAATACCAATAATAACAAAACTTAGGGTGGAGAAACCTTAAATATTTTGTAAACCTTCGCAAAGTATTTATTATGATAATTTTTAAAAAGGATTTAAAAAAACATTTACGCACCATTCTGTATTAAATCTATAAAAATTTACTGCTTTTTGTTTTAATAAATATCTAATAGTTTTTAAATGGAATGCTTTCCCACCTTTTTTTCCTTAACGTCTTTGTAGAATGCTACCTTATCGTTGCACAAATTTAAAGCTCTCAATATTGTCAAGACATAATATCACGAAGTATTTCCAATGGCACGCATGTAAATACAATTTTATATTAGAAAATCCTTAAAACATTTTTGCTTTCGCGAGAGGTCCGTTTTCCTCTTAAATATTACGGAATCTAACTAAGTGCTGCTACCTAGCAATTGATGTATTAAGTATAGCACATACTCGGAATCGATTCTAATACAGTTTAAGAACGTTTTTGGTCGAACGCACATGTTGGTGCGGTTTCTGATTTTAGAAGGTAAGCTGTCCGTTTATTCTTAATAAATTTTTAGCATATGTGGTCATAATTAGTAAACGTTTAGGCATCTTTTAATGTAAATTAAATTATGATGGACCGATTTTTTGCAACTGACGCACAATTACCCCACATAGAATTAAGGAGGTCCTTTCGCCACACCTCTCGCCTCTAATGTTAAAAAAAAGTTATTAGATTATGACTAAATTTAATTTTTTTTTCTAATAGTTGAAGTCCTTATTTATCTAATACTGAACTTTTAACTATACCTTACCTTGCAAATTTTTGAGAATTTTTTTTTTTAAAATGTGAGTATTTGTACAGTGCCACACGAGAAAGTAAGTCCTCAACAACAATTCTCGAATTATACTATTATTTATTGATTAGATGAAGTAGAAAAAAAATAAAAATAAGGTTTTTGAAATATTTAGATTTTGTTTTATACAATAAAATATATATAGTAAACCGTGGAACTTATTGAGAAATTAATATTAAAAAATCACAAAAAATTTTCAAGTAACCTAGTTGAAATTTTTTTGTGATTTTTTAATAATAATTTCTCAATAAATTCCACGGTAACCTATATATTTTATTGTAAAAAACAAAACCTAAATATTTCAAAAACCTTATTTTTAGTTTTTTTCTACTCCATCTAATCAATAAATAATAGTAAAATTAATTATAATTCGAAAATTCTTGTTGTAGTCTTACTTTCTCATAAGACACTGTACAAACACACACATTTAAAAAAAAAATTCTCAAAAATTTGCACGGTGAGGTATAGTTAAAAGTTCACTATTAGATAAATAAGGACATCTACTATTAGAAAAAGGACCTCCTTAAATGAGAATTTTTTCTTTCTTTACAGATGCCACCTAATTACAAACGGAAGACAGAAAGGAATTCCTGGGATCCAGAAAATTTGAAGAAAGTTTTAGGGGAAATTAGAAATGGTAAAGAAATAAGAGAAGTTGGCCGGACATTCAATATACCAGAGTCAACATTAAGAAAGCAAATGAAGAAAGAAAATCCTGTATCATCGCGCCTTGGTCGTAAAGCAGTATTTTCCCCCGAGATTGAGGCCCAACTAAAGGAGTACACTTGCCAAGCTTTTTTATGGTTTGACGCCCACAGAACTTCGTCGCTTAGCATTTAAATATGCTAAAGAACATGATATAGGACATGTTTTCTCATCCGAAAAGCAAATAGCTGGTAAAAACTGGTTATATGGGTTCCTGAACAGAAATCCTGAAATAAAACTTCGGCAGTCAGAAGGCACCAGCATAAATAGAATTGTTTCCTTTAACTCTGACTCAACCAAGAAATTTTTCGAAAATCTGAAAGTGGTAATGGACAAACAGGATTTTTAACATGGACGAGACAGGGGTCACTGTGGTGCAAAAAAAAGTGTCCAAAAGTTTATGGACCCAAGGGTGCTAAAAAAGTTGGAGCTGTTATTTCGGCGGAGCGTGGACGAACAATAACAGCAGTATTTGCAGTTAGTGTGGTAGGTAACTATTGTCCACCTATGCTAATATATCTAAGGAAGCGAATGTCCCCAGCCCTACAAAAAAATGGGCCAATTGGAGCTCTTTACGCCTGCTCTAAAAATGGATGGATCAATTCGGAGATGTTCGTTGAATGGTTAAAACATTTTGAAAAAAACGTTAATCCTACAGATAACGATCCTGTTCTCCTAGTTTTAGACAATCATTCCAGTCATATATTGCTAGAAGCTTATTTATTCTGTAAAAGCAAATTTATTTACATAGTCTCTCTGCCACCTCATACTTCTGACCACCTTCAGCCACTGGACCTAACATTTTTTAGTCCTTTTAAAAACCAACTCTCTAGGGACATTGATCTACAGCTTACCAATACGGGATAATCTCATAATATTTGATGTATCTGTAACTAGATTTAGACATAACATAATATTCATTATAACAATTTTAAAATTACTTTGTATCCTAAATGGACTTGTCCGTAAATATACGAATGAATAAATAAATTTTGTGTTTTAAAAGTTTGGCGTCTTTTAAAACCAGTTTGGTGACTTTTAAAACCAGTTTGGTGAACGTTTACCATTTTAATTAGGTTTAAAACAGTTTGGTGATCACTTAACCCCCACTTAAATCTATTTCGTAAGCTATAAAACATTTATGTAGGATCTAAAAGAGTTTAGTGACCTTCAAAACCGGTTTTCTTACATCAAAAACTATTTTTGTGAGCTTTAAAATAGTTTGATAGCTTCTAAATCCAATTTGTAGAAACTTAAAATCGTTTTTCTAAGCCATGTAATAGTTTGGTGTTCGTGTTTTGATGTAGTTTTCGATTTTAAACGAAGCTATGAAAGAAGGAAAAAGAAGGATGCTTAAAAAGTTAAAAAGGCTTACCTGTTTTGTCTACAATAACTCCGTCTACACAAAATTTAATCAACCAGAATATCGTGCTAATAAAGGCACCGAAAGCGTTCAACATAGAAACCACCACACCGATACTAGTCCATTTAAAATAAACCTCATCCCAGTTTTTACGTAGATTATGCAACGGCATCACCCCAAATATTTGGGCCATTCGTATTACAAATTTCATGTTATCGTGAAGATTATTTTTATTCGAAACTATTACATTTTCATTGTCCTACAAAAAAATGGGCCAATTGGAGCTCTTTACGCCTGCTCTAAAAATGGATGGATCAATTCGGAGATGTTCGTTGAATGGTTAAAACATTTTGAAAAAAACGTTAATCCTACAGATAACGATCCTGTTCTCCTAGTTTTAGACAATCATTCCAGTCATACATTGCTAGAAGCTTATTTATTCTGTAAAAGCAAATTTATTTACATAGTCTCTCTGCCACCTCATACTTCTGACCACCTTCAGCCACTGGACCTAACATTTTTTAGTCCTTTTAAAAACCAACTCTCTAGGGACATTGATCTACAGCTTACCAATACGGGATATGAAAAAAATTCAGAATACTTACGACTTGGCTGAACTTTTAAACAGAGCATTTTTAAAAGTAGTTACTATGGAGAAAGCTATTTCTGGCTTTAGAACTGCTGGATAAATTCACCGAAGATGATTTTGCACCTGCACATCAAATAA